GGGCCTAAAATATTTTTACACAATATTCTAGATTTTTTTTTGGAAATTTTTTTTATAAACGGCTTATCTTACAGTGGCGCCATGTGCTGCGAGTTTCTACCGTAATCTTACAGCAATGGAGAGTTTTGGCGGATTCGCTCCATACTGTAAATCTAAGTTGAAGACAGCTCTACATAATAGTATTTATATTATAATATTTATAATATTTACTTTGTTCTTCAGGCCAACGATTTGTGTCGAAAGAGAAAGTGCAAAGAGAACACATTCTTTCAGTCTTTTTTGGCAGAGGGATAATCTGTCTTATTCATGCCTGTCTTCCAATAAAGCTTTGGACATTGATGTACTTTTGGTGGACAAAACCTATCAATGTGAAAATAAGGAAAAGCTGAACTTACGTTGTTAGTTGGTCTTCATGTTCTCGCGAAAATCGACTTCGCATACGCCTCAAAATATGTCTTCGTCCGATCTCGGCATCAGCAGAAAGCTCAGGTCGCAGCATTTTATGTAGTTCAGGATTCATATGCTTCGGGCATTTATTCATAGTGAATAACTTGGCGAAAGCCTAAAACACTAAATTGTCCAGCTGAAACTTAAACTGCAATAATTCTACGATTTTCGGAGGAAAATGAGAAGATTCTCCGCATGAAATTGCACGATCATTTTAGCAGCCCGCAACAAGTGCCAGAAGAGACAAGAGAGGATGGCTAGACGCAGACATGGTCCCGCCACGACTGCCCGGACCGTATGAATTTACCTTGTCTATATTAAGATTGTTTGCAGCAGAGCACGTTACAAACGCATCGTGCGAGCCTGTAGCTTGCTCAACCTGTTCAGCCGCCTCTTTCTCGGTGATCTAGAACAAAACATTTTTTATTGTAACAAAAACCTTATCCCGCTCACCTGCCAACGATGTTCAGGAAGATCAGCCTTGTTCAAGACGAACACACAAGGTGTGTCACTGCCTCCGGTTGCACCTCGTGATGCTTTACAATCGCTTATTTGCTGCCGAATCTGGATTTCTTGGTTTGGTTTTGGTACGAGCAAAGCAGAAAAAATAATTTTACTAGACTCACATCAAGCATGTGAGCTACGGAATCAGCATTGTCCACGGATGAGACCAACAGAAACATGTCACCTAGAAATGGAACAAGGTCAGCATAGACAATACGACAAGTTGCAAATTTTCGAAATATGGAGCACGAACTTCAAAAACAATAGCAGTAAGTAACGGTACGCTGCAGTTATTTGTAATAACGCAAAAAATTAGATTCATGCCATGTGGATTCAATACTGTTTG